GAGCAATAATTTTCTGAAGCTGTGATCTGGGTAATACAGAGTTGCTACTCAAAAATCTAATAAAGCTCTTAACTTCGTATTGCGAATTATAGAACACTACTTTTTAATAAAGCCATATTTTTTTAGAGAAACAGGAATGACATAGAACTGATAAATGCATAAGATAAATTTCGCTGGGTTTTTGTATATAATCATCTCTAGAACTCTGGAAACTGAGGATTCATTATGCTGTGGTCATATTCAGATACTTTCTAATTCCAAATATCTTGATGGATGAGCCTTGTCTTTACAAATATATGCCAAGCTGGGAAATATCAATGGATTTTCTAAAAATAATGTAAATGTCTTCTGTTTAATGTCATTTGAGTGCAATAAAATGCAGAAGAATTCTTCTCTGTATTGTCATTATTTTAGAGTATATTTTTTTTGTTTCTTTCCATAGCATCGGTTCATTTTATATTTTCCAATATTTCAGGGTATTCTAGCACTTTTGGTGATTAAAATCACAAAGGAGTACCTTCAACCTCTTTCTTTACCTATTTCTAGTAGGTAATGTTTATTTTGTTTAATATTTACTACAGTGCTACAATTTGAGGGGCAGAATTCAGATGAAATAGTCCCTGCATCATGCTGTGTAGGTTTTTGTCCGGCACCTAGAAGTTCTGATAAGTCCCTGGCAAGGTCATTCATTCATCTGCACCCTCTGGTCCTCCATGACGATCACTCGGTGAGAATTAGCCTTCAGCCTGGTTGAGAGAACGAGGAGTTTGAGCGACTGGAAGCGTAGCAAAGGGAAGAGAAGATTCTATCTTCATTCTTTGGGCAGTGAAGGAGAATGAGACACGAATGGATGAAGCTCCTGGGGTTCTAGAAAGTGTTGTTTTTTCCTCCAAGGTGCTCAGAAGAAACAGAAAAAACCTTTAAGGTTAAGCAGGCCCGTTTTGCTGCACGGGGATGCTGAGTGCTGAGTTAGGGCGTGGAGGCTCCAGGCACCTGGGTGTTACTCCAGGCACCTGGGTGTTACTCCCATGCCTGCAGATGAAGAGACTGAGGGTCAGAGTGGCTGCAGTGCCTGCCAGCCAAGGTCATTCACAGCCTAGAGTCTAGAGCGTACAGGCGGGCGCCCAGTGGAAGGTGGGAACAACTAGAGGGCAACCGAGAGCAAGCAGAGGGCAGTCAGGTCACGGAGAAGTACGAACCCAGGTGATGTGGTGATAGGATCTGACTGCAAAAGTGCTAGTGGAGAGGGAGGACAGGGACCTGTGACTTAGACAGGACCCGGTCAGGAGAGGCAGAGCCCCATGGCTGGGTCTTGGAGCAGGGACAACAGATGCCAGTGTGACTGGGAGCTCAGGACACACAGACCTGGATGCAAATTAGATTTGCCCACAAGAATTGGCCAGTAGGCACATTAGCACAGCAGCTGAAATTCAAAATAATTGAATATACAAAAATGATTTTTTTCTTAATGGTTGTATGACAATTTTTAAAAGGTGAAGATCCTATTCTCTTTAGTAAGGTTTTCTTTAATAGTGTTGAAAAAGTTAGCACCGTTAAAAGATGTGTAGTTTCTGTTTCTTTGGGGGTATGTGTTTATTCACTAAATCTGAGTTACTGCTAAGCTTGTACTTCTGTCATTTTCTGGGTTGGACTGAGTGTAGTGTATGGACTGCCCACTATTGGAATATGTGGAGTATAGTATTGTAGAGTGTGGCCTTCTGAATAGTTCTTAATTGTTCTGCAACCCTTGGCAATATTCCGTAGCCTCTCTCAGCCATTTTTCTTATCTATGGAATTAAAACTACCTTTCAGAGTTAAATGGGACAATCTGCATTAGTGTTGAGAACAACGCCTGGCAGCTAGTTAAGTGTTATCAATCATTTTCCTTTTTGGCACATTGAGGGCCATTTGAGTCTTCCCTGGGAAGCCCCAGGTGCAAAGACTAAAGACTAGCAAAGTCACACTCTATTATATTATGCAGAATGCTAGTGAGGTAAGCTGAAGCTCTTTGAAAACTCTACCTAAGCTGAATTTAAGCACTGAAAACCCCGGAGGTGAAAATCCCCTACTCTGTGTATTTTCCACACCCAAGCTCCTGTCTCACATCTCAACTTGCTGAAGCAGTGGGATCAGAAGGAAACAGAACCTGGGACCTTTGCCCCTGGGTTGGACCATCTGGGCTAGGCCTTATTAGTTCAGCCTCTTGTCATCCTAGGTAACTGCAGTACAGGAGGAAAAAGGATGGTAACCCTGGTTCCTGGGAGCATACCTGGCCAGGGGCCTCCCACACCTATTTAAAGGGTGATCAGTTCTGAATTTCCCCAGTGATCCAGTGGTTAAGACTTTGCCTTCCAAAGCAGGGGTTTGGGTTCACTATCTGGTCAGGGCACTAAGGTCCCACATGCTTCTTAGTCAAAAAACCAAACAAAAGCAATATTGTAACAAATTCAATAAAGACTTTGAAAATGGTCCACATCAAAAAAAAAAAAAAAAACTAAAAAAAGATGACCAGTTCAATCCACTCTTCCTTCCTTGGATTCCCTGGGGGCAGGAAGATTTCTGGACAGCTCTAAAATCTTCTTCATGACCAGCACCCACCAGTGTTCTACAGTCAACTGAGAAACTTGCATTTTATGCTTGATTTGTCTAAATTACACTAGCCATATGCCAGGTAACATTACTGGAGGGGGGGGGGATACTCCCAGCCTTCCTGCACGTATCGCTGGTGCCGCAGAAAGAGAGAACCTTGGAAATTGAGATTTTTGATACTTCTCTTCTATCCTGTATCCCTGATACAAGAGTTTGTTGTTCAGTTACGCCCGACTCTGCCACCCCATGGAATGCAGCGCATCAAGCTTCCCTGTCCTTCACCATCTCCCAGAGCTTACTCAAACTCGAGTGCATCCTACAAAATGATGCACTGCCTAACCTTATGATGGCAGTGGTTTTGTCATTACGTCGTGTCTGACTCTTTCAACCCTGTGGACTGTAGCCCACCAGGCTTCTCCTCCTCCATGGGATTTCCCAGGCAAGAATACTGGAGTGGGTTGACATTTCCTTCCCCAGGGGCTCTTCCAGACCCAGGGATCGAACCCAGGTCTCCTGCATTGCAGGCGGGTTCTTTACTGAGCCACCCGGGAAGCCCTTTATGACAAGGGTACAGTTAATAAGATCAGAAATTCTAGAATGTTCAACGGAGATTAGGAAGTCTATTTTATATCCTGTGCCTCCTGAAGCACTGACCAGGAAATGTGTGGCAGCCAACATTTTTTTTCTTTGAAGATTTTTTTGATGTGGACCATTTTTTAAAAGCCTTTATTGAATTTGTTGCAGTATTGATTCTGTTTAATGTTACTTTATGGTTTTTTTGGCTGCGAGGCGTGTGGGATCTTAGCTCGCCCACCAGGGATCAAACCCGCACTTCCTGCACTGGAAGGTGAAGTCTTAGCCACTGGATCGCCAGGGAAGTTTCCCAGCCAACTTTTTAAAACCCTCCCTTTGCAAAAGTCAAGACCTGCACTTTTTTTCCCCTTTGTTTCCCTTTCAACAAAATTAGAGACTGGCATGGTGAAAAGAATGTCTATTTTGGAGTCAAATACACCACTGACCTTGATGACTTAGACACTCTACGTTGTCAAGCTTCAGTCTCCTCCTCTGCGTGAAGAAGGAGATTGCAGAGGGTGGTTGTTGTTTAGTTGCTCAGTCCTGTCTGACTCTTGTGACCCCACAAACTGTAGCCCACTAGGCTCCTCTGTCCATGGGATTTCTTGGGCAAGAATACTGGAGTGGGTTACCATTTCTTTCCCCATCTGCAGAGGATGTTAGGAGGCAAAAGATGTGCCTTGTGCTTGGCACCAAGCCTGGCATGCTTTTGAGTCAGTTTGCTTTCTCTCCCCTGGGGATCTCAAAGGAGAAACACTTGACTGATAAAAAATCCTCTCCTTGTATCAGGAGCCTCATATTTACCTCTTGCCTCCAAAAATTGAAATGTTTTATATGAATGAATGTGGGAAACTGGGGATCAAGAAATTGAATGCTGTTGCCTGCACCCCTGAACCCAACCTGCACGGCACCCACACCCTCTTGCATCTACTCTGGGGAGAGGATGGAATCTGATTTTTTTTAATCAGACTGCCAAACTCTGCGCCATCCCCACTGCAACTCACCTGTACACATGTGTACCTAGAAATTCTCAAAGACTAGGTAGATACCTACTGGGACTGAAATTGACTGGTCTACCTCTAACTGCTATGTCCCACCTGGGCTCAGTGTGGGCATCCCTGTGGGTCACCTGTGGATGTAGGAAGTCCTTGAGTCAGGTTAGTGTTCTCAGTAGGATGGCCTGCTACAATCCTTTCAAGCACACAGTCCCTGTTATAAAGCAGTGTATGGCTTTAAGAGACAATAAAGCTATTGGATGGGCTTTGAGTGAGTCTTCTCTGGACTCAGTTTGTACCCACAGAGGCGCTTATATTGGTGGAGGTGGCTCCCATCACCCCTTATGTAGACCAGGAACACTCAGCCTGGCACCCAAAACCTGCTTACTGCTTGGTGACTTTTATAAGTAATTCAAATTCTTAATATTTTACAATAAATTACATGTGTGAAGAATTTAGGATTTAGGAAAATTGAATTGTTAGCCCAGAATTTTTTAAATTGAAGTATAATTTATTTATAATATTGTGTTAGTTTCAATGATTCAGTGATGTATATATTTATATATATCACAAAGTGATACTGTCATATATATATACTCAGTCATATATATATATAAAATTATTTTCTATTGTACATTATTACAAGATACTGAATATAGTTCCCTGCGCTATACAGTAGATCCTTGTTGTTTATCTATTTTATATATAATAGCGTGTATCTCTTAATCCCAGAAATATTGTGAATTGAACTCACATTTGAACTCATTTAAAGATAGTCCTATAATTTGAGATTTTGAATTGTAACTCTCACAATACTTACTTTGTTTTGTCTTTACCTTTCAGAAACAAATAAGAAAGCAGATGAGCCAGAAAAAAAAGGAAAAGGTAAGATTGTTAAAAGCAACAACCTTTCAAATACACATAAGGAGAAGTTATACTATCTGTGAATAATGTGATCTTATTTTCTACACTAGGCAAAATAAATTGCCAGTGTGTTTATTATTTCAGTGGTTTTACCAACAGACATTAATATTCTACATAAACATTAAGAGCTAAAGCTCTGGAAAGACATTAGCACCTAACACTCGTTTTGCTGTTCACTCTGTATACATCCTGAGAATTACCCAACCTCTGTGCTTCAGTTTCCTCTTCTGTGATATGGGAATAATAACAGTACCAACTTCCAGAAACCATAAGACTGTTGTTTCCACAATAGTAATTAAGAGAAAATATATGTAAAGTGCTTAAAGCAGTGTCTAGCACAGGGAAAGCGCAAAGGAAATTTAATTATTACTGTCACCTTTGTTGACAACTGTTCTAAGTATAAAGATTATTTGAATATGTTCTTTTTTCCTGGGACTTTGAGCTGTTTGAAAGAAAGCCATGCAAATATTTACATCTATAAAGAAAATATCATCTCTGCCTTCCAAGAGCTTATTATAGAGGCATTCTAATAAATTTAAGGAACCAGTAGAATTTTAATTCAAAGTTCACAAAGGTTGCTAAATATAGAGAGAGGAGCTATTTTTTAAAGTTAAATTTATAAACATTATATGGATGGTCACAGAGTAGCAGTTATATTTTTAGTATCATTTGAATGGTAAAATCATCAATGATTAAACATTATTGGAGTTTCAGGAATGGCTTTAACTTGTAGTGGTAAAAGCAGTGTTTACATTTAAAAGATACAGTTCATGTAAGAGCCAAGATCTTACTTACCCAATAGGTAAACAGTCCCTGACTGTATGGAGTTGCTGGCTTTTGGCCATTATTTCATAGCCCTTAGGCATTTATTTAGCTCATGCATTTTTTTCCTGACTGGTTGTTTTTAATATTTTATTAAAGTAATATACAGATCTAAGTTTTAAATTAAAATATAGTTTATTTACAATGTGTTCATTTCTGCTGCATAGCAAAGTGATTCAATCATACATATATATGCATTGCTTTTTTAAAAAATATTCTTCTCCATTATGGTTTGTCATAGGTTATTGAATGTAGTTCTTTGTGCTACACAGTTAGTACCTTATTGTTTATCCATTCTATTTATAAAAACTTACACCTACTAACCACAGCCTCTCACTCCATCCCTCCCCCAGCCCACTTCCCCTTGGCAACCGCAAGGCTGTTCTCTATGGCTGTGAGTCTGTTTCTGTTCCGTAGATAGGTTCGTTTGTGTCATATTTTAAATTCCACATATGAGTGATATCAAATGTTATTTGATAACAGCATTTTCAACAATAAATTTAAGAAACCAGTAGTATTTTAATTCAGTGTTCACAAAGGTTGCTAAACGTAGAGTGAGGAGTACAAAGATTATTTCAAACATGTTCTTTTTTCACTTTTACATTTCTTTACAGATGTAAATATTTCCATGTCTTTCTTTCTAACAATTCAGAGTCCTGTGAAAAAAGGCTGGGTAGTATTCCGTTGTATATATGTACCGTATCTTCTTTATCTATTTATCTGTCAATGGACATTTGGATTGTTTCCACCTACGCATTTCTAAATAATGTCTGAATTCTGCAGTTTTCTCCTCCATGTTGAAAACTGTTGACTGCCTTTTCTATATAGATGACTGGGCTTCTATTCACACAAGCTCTCCACACTGCCTTACTTCCCAATCTTCCACCATGTCCATGACTTACCTACTCTCTCCACTGTTTGCTGTTGCCCAGACTCTTTAGTTAGTTGCTCCTGTTTCCCTGACCATCCTGTGTTGAAGGTCCCAAAATCAGTCCTCAGGGCATTTCTCCATCTGCACACACTCCCTTGATGATCCCATCTGATTCGGTGGCTTTAAATATCTTTATGCCAAGTACAACTGCTTTAACTGCATCCCAGGTCTCTCCCTCTCAACAAGTATATCCAGCTGTCTACCTGATGGAGACCTGATGGCTACCTGATGCCCTCGAAGGATATCTAATAATCACATCAAACTTAATAAGTGTAAAATGGAACTCCTGACCCTCCCGTGAACACACACTGCTCCTACAAATCTCTTTCCTGCCTCCCTGCCATTCCATCAGCAAACCCTGTCCACCCTCTCTTCCCAGCTTCTTTCTGCCACCTTCTGTCTCTACCACCATCTCTTGCTTGATTACTCCAGTTACCTCCAAATGGATCTTCCTTTGTCTCTATCCTCTTTCTCAATTCAGTAGCCATGGTGACCCTTTTAAACTTTCTTTGCATGCCAAGTTGCTTCAATCGTGTCCAACTCTTTGCAACCTTATGGGCCGTAGCTCGCCAGTTTCCCCTGTCCATGGGATTCTTCAGCTAAGAATACTGGAGTGAGTTGCCATTCCTTTCTCCAGGGGATTTTCCTGACCCAGGCATGGAAACCACATCTCTTATGTCTCCTGCATTGGCTAGAGGGTTCTTTACCACTAGCGCCACGTGGGAAGCCCTTAAACTTTCTTTAAGAATTTTATTTACTCTGTTTTTTGTTTATTTATTTTTGCCTGCCCTGGGTCTTTGTCGCTGTTCTTGGGCTTCCTCTAGTTGCGATGAGCAGGGGCTACTCTCCAGCTGTGGTATGTGGGCTTCTCACTGCAGGGGCTTTGTTCAGAACAGAGGCTCTAGGGCTTGGCTCAGTAGTTGTGGCGTGTAGACTTAGTTGCTCTGAGGCATGTGGAATCTTCCCAGAGCAGGGATCGAACCCCTGTACCTGCATTGGCAGGTGAATTCTTAACCATTGGACCACCAGGGAAGTCCACGGTGACGCTTTTAATACCTAAGTGGTAGCCTGTTGCTCAGATGCCTCCATCATCTTCACATCTTTCTCAGAGTAAAACCAAAGTCGTCTGTGGTGGTTTACAGGCCTCACACATCAGTTTCTTACTCTCAGAAGGTCTCTGAGGTTAGTGACGTGCTCAAGGCAACTGTGGTTAAGAGCACTCTGAATAGCAGATAGTCTGCAAAGGTCCTGAGGCGGGAGGGAAGGGCCTGAGAAACCGGAGCCCACAAGCAAAGCCAGAGCGTGTTCAGTGCAGCCAGACGGGCAGTCGGGGCCAGACCATGGCAGAGTCAGGCCGCCTTTGTTCTTGCAGTGGGACTCCACACCCAGCCCATGCAGGTGTCTGCAGGTCAGAGACTTTCCAGTTCACACACTGACTGCTTTGCTTCCCGGAGGTGCACCCTGGCATTTTCTGACAAAGGTAGAGACGGGAGGGTGAGTGCCGAGTGCTGGGCGTGGCTTATTGCAGATATGAACAGGTGCATGCCCTCCTCCAGATGCTATGCTTAGCATTTCTCACTCTCCAGGGCTCCATTTCCTTCCTTCTGCACTGCACTTCCCTCTAGTACCCTCTGCACAGCTTTCTCCTCCCGGGATTTTGAGCGCATAAGCAGCTTTCCAGTGGCCTGGGAGGTGGGCTCCCTGGCTATTTCTTCACAGAACTTGTGGAGAGAATTTGCAACATCACCTGATTGGCTCTTCACTCTCCATCATGTAGAGCTGGCCTTATATCCACACCAACTGAAGTCTTTTATTGATTGTGACATACAGGGAGAATCTTAGGATTAAGAGACGTAATGAGTCAGTGTTATCTCAAGTTCACTGAAAATCCTGTTTGAGAAAATTGTCAGCTTTGGAAATTCCATCTTTTTTTTTTTTACCCACATTCATGAGAAAAAGTGGAAGTGTTAGCTGCTCAGTCGTGTCCGACTATGTGTGATGCCATGGACTATAGCCCACCAGGCTACTCTCCGTGAAATTCTCCAGGCGAGAATACTGGAGTGGGTTGCCATTCCTTTCTCCAGGGGATCTTCCCAACTCAGGGATCAAACCCTGGTCTCCTGTGTCTCCTGCATTGCAGGCAAATTCTTTACCATCTGAGCCACCAGGGAAGCCCATACAATGCTGTTAACTGGTATGGCAGAGGGAGGGGAAATATTCCATTTCTGGGATACACAGTGAAAAAAAGTGGAATGTTTTAATAGCCAGCTTTTAATTTCACAATAATAGAAATGGAGATTTTTTTAAAAACAGTAAATTTGTCTCAGGATGAATTATTAGGCTAAGTTTCTATTGAGTTATCACCTTCAAGTTCTTTATCAGAGATCTACAGATGAGAGGGGGGAGATGTTATTTTTACTTACAATTAATAATCACATGATTCTTTTCTTTTAGAGAACCACGTTTAGTTTATTTTGATACAGTCATAAGTTTGGACTAGGGCTAATTCTAAAACAGGGCCTCTTTGGAGATACCAGCTTCTTATATTGAATGAGATTATTTATATCTGTTTAACCTAAAATTGCTGTATCAGTTTTTCCCCACTGGATGTCATCTTTTACCACACATTACATATTCCACACCCACAGAACAGGACTGTGAGATGAAAGATAATGCAGTACAAAAATGCCGGATGAAATGTCCAATTCAAACAGTTTTTTTTATTCATTCATTTATTCAGTACATATTGAGTACCTGCTATGTGCCAGGCCCTGTTTTAGGCACTGGGGCTAAAACATTCAATAAAAACAAAGTCCCAGTTCTCATAGTACTTACAACATATTTTAGTGTATGTGTGTCGGGGGGAGAGATTTGTCATTTTCAAAAAAATAAAATAAGTATGAAAAAGAATATAAAACAGGAAAAAGATACAGAGAATGACAATGGTCAGGAGTGTTGCTCTGTTGATGGGCCTCTTGGACAGTGACACTGGAGATGTAAGATGCAAGGGCATGAGCTATGCAGCCATATAGGTGAAGTGAGTTCCAGGAGTGGAAAAGTATATTCATAGTCCCTCAAGGAGGTATGATTAGGATGTGGTTAGACATGGTGAGTGGTGCTTAGATTCTGCCTATATTTCATATAAGGTCTGTAGAATTTGCTGATGGTTAGGATATGAGGCATGAAAGAAAGAGGAGTCAAAAATGAC